CCCCAGTTATAAGCATAGCCACCTAAACAAATGTAATTTATATGTGGCATATATTCATAAACATTCACAAGTTATGATATTCATAATAAAAGGGTTTACTTTTATATTAGAAGAAAAGCAGCCAGAATTCATTGAATTTTCATGAATGACATGGTGCTATTTAACACTTCGAATATTTGGCTATAGATTACATGGACCAACTTAAGAAGAGGTGATGATTGATGATTAATAACTGATTTTAAAGAATCATTCTCCAAGTCCATTTGAATGGATTGAAGATTTATAAAGTACTTTAAATATTGCTTGTTTTATTCAGTCTTCTTTATATTCCATCATTTCTAATATCAAAAAGAGAGTCCATTTGAACACATTTTAAGTGATGGAAGATAATAAAAATCAAAAGTTTTGTTTTATGAATTCATTTCATTCAGTCCGGATTTTCATTATAGCTTATTGTAAGGGGACCACAAAAATTAACATGAAGATAGTCAAAATCACAATTTAGTGAACAGAGGACTGAAAACGGAAAAAAATTAAGAAGGAACAATTTTGCTCAGGTTTCAAAAACATTTAGTAACTAGGTATCATTTCCCATTAAAAAAAAATCTAGGCCGGGCACGGTGGCTCACGCCTGTAATCCCAGCATTTTGGGAGGCCAAGACGGGCGGATCACGAGGTCAGAAGATTGAGACTCCATCCTGGCTAACACAGTGAAACCCCGTCTCTACTAAAAATACAAGAAAATCAGCTGGGCGTGGTGGTGGGCACCTGCAGTCCCAGCTACTCGGGAGGCTGAGGCAGGAGAATGGCGTGAACCTGGGAGGCGGATCTTGCAGTGAGCCGAGACCACACCACTGCACTCCAGCCTAGGCAACAGAGCGAGACTCCGTCTCAAAAAAAAAAAAAAAAAAAAAATCTAGAAAAGGAAGAAATTAATCAACATGTATGGGAAAATGCATTGCAAATACTACAGTTTCCTCCTGCTGTAAGAGCATATATCTTTCAGAAAACAGGATAAAATCTCCACAACATTGGTCTGGTCAACGATTTCTTGGACATGACTCCCAAAGCACAAGAAACAACAGCAGAAAAAAGCAAATGGGATTGTATCCAACTAAAATGTTTCTGAACAACAAAGGAAACAATTAACAGAGCAAAGAGATAACCCACAGATAAGGAGAAGATATTTGGAAATTACATACCTGTTAAGGGGCAATACCCAAAATATATAAGTAACTCAAACAACTCAATACTAAGAAAACTAATAACCCAATTAAAAAACGGGCAAAGGATCTGAAAAGACATTTCTCAAAAGAGACAAACAAATGGCCAACAGATATGTGAAAAAAATGCTCAACATCTTTAACCATCTGGAAATGCAGATTAAACCGCAATGAGATATCACCTCACACCTGTTAGGGATAGCTATTATCAAAAATATAAAAGACAATCTTTTTTGGTAAGAATGTGGAGAATATGAGACGCTCAAACATTGTTGATGGGAGTGTAAATTAGTACAGCCATTTTGGAAAACAGTATGGAGGCCCCTCAAAAAACTAAAATTATAATTACCGTATGATCCAGCAATCCCACTTCTGCATATATATTCAAAGTAATTGAAATCGGTATATTAAAGAGATATCTTCACTCCCATGTTCGTTACAGCATTATTCACAATAGCCAAGTCGTGGAAGCAACCTAAGTGTCCATCATTGGATGGATAAAGAAAATGTGGCACATGCAAATGGAAATACAATGGAAACAATTCAGCCTTTAAAAAGAAGAAAATTCTAGCCAGCCAGTTGTACTGGCACCGGCCTGTAGTCCTAGCTACTTCAGAGGCTGGGGTGGGAGGATCTCTTGAGCCTAGGAGTTTGATATCAGCATGGGCAACGTAATGAGACTCTTATGTCTTATGTCTCTTAAAAAAAAAAGAAGGAAAATTTGTCAGTTGCAACATTTACAATAACATGTGTTAATCTAGAAAGCATTGTACTAGGTGAAATGAGTCAGGCACAAAAAGACAAATAATGCATGATCTCACTTATATGTGGAATCTTAAAAAGTTGAATTCATAGAAGTAGAGTTGAATGGTAGTTACCAGGGGATGGGGGTAAGGAGAGGCACAAGGAAAGGAGAGATGTTTCTTAAAGGGTACAAAGTTTCAGTTAGACAAGAGGAATAAGTTCTTCTGGTAGTCTGTTTCACTGCATGGGGACTATACTTAATAATAACATATTGTATATTTCAAAATTGCTTAAAAAGTAGATTTTAAATGTTCCCACCATAAATAATTAGTATGTAAGGTGATGTATATGTTAACCAGCCTGTTTTAATCATTCCACAATGTATTCATGTGTCATAATGTGACACTGTACTCCATAAATACATACTTTTATTATTTGTCATTTTTAAAAAATAAAATTTTAAAAAGTAATCACACTGCTAAAAATAGTATACTTCTCTTAAACTCTGTTTGATAGCCAATTTGATCATATGTGTTAATAATTCTAAACTACCACCCATTGATGTTCTGCCTCTGTTAAAGGGGCATCTGGGCAGACAAAATTTATAATTGTGTCCAGGGAGAAATGTACTACATCTCTTGAATACAAGAACTGGATTTCATCAATAACTTTATCCTCACAGTGGAGATGGATCCACCAGGTTCTCCTACTTTGATGGCACCCTGTCAGAATAAAGTTACCTCTCTGATACGGCTTCCTTCACTCCCTTCTCCCTTCTCCCTCCTCTCCCACCTATACCGGGAAACCATACATTGCCCAAGCCCTTAGCACAATACCTGAGAGGGTCCCACTGGAGAGGGTCAAGCACTGAGCTATGCCACTCAGATAAGTAAATATTACTTATCCTGCTAATACCACACCCTCAGGGCAGGGCAGATCAGGGACCCCAGGATGGTGGTGAGACAGCTCTGGCTTAAAAGCAAGAAAGAGCCATGGTTTAAACAGAAAAACCAGAAAAAATCTTCAGCCTGGGATGTGATGCAAAATAAATGTAAAAAGCTACCATTGAAAATAGTATGAATCATTATCTAAAAGGCCATTCTCAAGGGAACTTAGCAAAGAAATTAATGAAAGAGAGCCATAAACATAAAATTTGCCTGAACCACATCAATTTGCTAAGCCTACACTCGGAATCTCTTTTGAAAAAAGACAGGTAAAATGTGAATTTTTCAAAAAAGAAAATCCATTTCCTGAGCCTTGAAATATTATGTATATTGGCTGACAATTTACAACAGAACAACACTCCACTTTTGTAAAATCGCCTTTGAACATGTTTGCACTGGGATAGATCCACTTATATTCCTAAAACTGTTAGACGAGAACAAAACCTAAATAGCAGGACATCTTCTGAGTTTCTGGTTTCCTTGGTTTCGCAGGAGCTGCCATCCTCTCTAAAGAGAAGACACTGCCTCCTCCATGTGCCAATGGGCTGCCACAATCAGCTAGAATCCTAGAACTCTGCCCCTTCCAAGAGGATTGAGGGTGACAACCTCCTATGTGAAAACATTGGGACATCAACGTGTGACCTGGCTGCCTGGACCAGGCAGTCACACATCTATCTCATACCACCTTTCCCAAACTCCGAGTTATTCAGTCTAAATAAGACCAGGTGCAGGACATCAAAAATTCATGCAGTGCACGTGTGACCATGCCAAGCTAAGACTAGTTCCTTCTCAGTGTCTTTTTGTCCAACAAAGGTTCCAAAAATTCTTGGCATTCAGTCACACCCAGGGTCAACTTATGACCAGAGCAACGACAGTTATTATTCTGTATTAAATGCCCACTGATAACATGGCATGGTGTCATGGGAATTGAAGGGTCAGAGAAGCCCAGAGAGGCTACCACCAATGATCTCCCAGAAGGAGAAAATAAAGAAAAGTAGGAGGAAGGAAGTGGAAAGAAGAATGAGAAGGAACAAAGCAAAGGGGAAAGGAGCAGATGGGTGCTAGTCAGGCCTGTACCTGCCTCACTGGGGCTTTTTACTACTCGAGTTAGCCTCATTTTCACCTCAGGTGTAAAAGTTACTCCACATCTCAAGTTCAACATGGCTTGATTTGAATTTTTGTTAGATGTTCAAGGTACATATCTGGGTCAAGGCACAAGTTTGTACTCATCAACTCTATTTTTTCAAGTATTATATCTCCAATGAATGTTATTCTTTTTTGAGGAGAAAAGTTTTAAATCAGGCACTGAAAATTTATCGATAGTATGATCCAATTTTATGTAAAGAATATATAAGTATATGAATAGTAAAAGTGTCTGGAAGGGTATACATTGCTTAAATTCTGTGCTTCTCTCCCTAGCTGCCCAAAACAGTTCTTTTGCAGCCCTTCACTCTTTGACTCTGCACCTTCTCTCTGAAGGGCCACATCTACTTTCATGTGCTCCGTTATCATCCATCCTCCAATGGCTCTCAAATCCTTATTTGCAGCCCGTTCATCTCCTCTGAGCACCAGATCAATACATTCAAATGACAATAGCATATCCCCATCTGAGTGTCACACAGGTACATCAAACCGAATTTATTTTAAAGGAATTAATCCTCCCCACCCCATCTCCCCACAAATCTTTTTCTCTCACCTAACAATAGGAGCAAGAAAAAATGTTAGTTCACTTTCCCATCGCCCCACCTTTAAAACTGGTGTTACGTGAGTTTCTACATATGCATGATTTAGTAGGCTTACCATACCCAGCAACTTTAAGCCAACCTGGTTTTGTCTGTACTACAAACATTACAGTACATACAGGGAAACTTGGATATAAAACCGGGTAAGTGAATAGAGGATTTTACCCTTTCCTGGCCTCATATATAAAGCAGGATAACATCCCCCAAACAACTAGAAATATATTGCAGAGGCTGGTGTGATCATGTCTGAGGAAACACTTTGGATTTTTAGAAAAGAAAGAAAACTACTCCTGTGAGAAATTATTTTAACAGTTGCCTTGCAGGAATGACAGAACTTTACACAGTAGTCACTTAATAAATGTTAACCTTTATTGTTACTATTATTTATTAAATGACACTAAAACATGGCAGAATGCCCCAGCAAAACAAAAGTCAACCAAAAAACTATCAACCCTGCATTCTAGGTAGTTAAGGGTGCTCAATTTTCTTAATTAACTACTATGTGCCAGAACATTGTAAGTACTTTGCATATATTACCTCATTGAATCCTCATAATAAGCCTTATCTATCATTTCAGAGAAGAAACTTCAACCTACCTCATTTTTAATCTAAATATTTCTTCCATTCAATATGTGTTCCAATCAATCACTTGCTTCATTCCCATCACTTTTCTTTCTCAAAAACTTCCTAAAAATCAATACCCATTTTAGATAAATAAAAACACATAGATGAATAAAAAGTAAAAAAGTAAAGATCATTCATTATCCTTCTACCCAAAGATAACTACTGTTTCTATCTGGATATCTATAACTCCAGTTTTTAGTGTCCTTTTAAACATATGTTTTATTAGTCTTAAAAAAATGGAATTATACTTCAAATACTTCCATCTACCCATTTTTTCTTTCTCACTTCACAATGCATAATGAATAGCTTTTCTGGCAATATAGATTTCCATCAGCATACTTATCCTACTGTGTAAACATTCCTTACTTTATAACCAATCCAATGTGCTAGATACTTAAATTGTTTCCAATTTTTACTAGCTTAGACAGTGCTGGGATGAACAGCCTTCTACATACAATCTTTGGGCAATTATTCAATTACTTCCTTAGGACAAAGGGTTTACATAGTTTAAGGCTTATGATCTGTATTACCAAATGGCCACCACTAGGGTGTGAAAGGCTCCATTTTGCCACACCCTCACTGACACCATACAGTAACAGATAGAGACTTTCATATGGACCCCAATTATTTTCTAGTAAAAAAAGATTTAGTGGGTCTGGGTGTTCAGTGGGATAATATTCAAACAACTCTCCACAACTGGCTTCACCCAGCTTTCCAAAATTATCTACTCCCACTCTCCACACTATCCACTCTAAGCAGAATGATCTCCTGACTGTCATAGGAAGAGGGTTCCTACTTCCATGCCTTTCTCACACCATGCCCCCCTCGTCATGTCTCATGGAATTCCCTAACCACCCTACCCCATGCAGGACTCATTTTCAATTGCCACCTCCTCCATGAAGCTTTAGCCGACTAGCACATCCCACAGAAGCTTTTGCCTCCTTTGTGCTCTCAGAGGGAACATCTGACAATGAGTACATGCTTCAGATATTCTGTTATATTTTGGTTTGTACGTTTCTTATCTCTCCAACTTGATTATAAACTGAAGGACAGGGATGGTTTCTTTCTTTCTTCTTTTTTTTCTTTCCAGCATTAATATACAACTTTATTGATGATACACAAATTAAATCAATGAAAATGACAGAAGGGAGCTTACTTATGATGAATTGGTTCACTGTCACTTATGCAGAAGAAAAGCAAAATATTTCAATCTAGGCAGCGAGATAAAAAGCAACAAACATGTTTTCAGAACAAGTAGTGATATTCATTCATCCATCTTAAACCTAAAGACCAACTCGGTTAAATATCAGCATTGATGATACGATATGATATTCATTATTCAAAACTGGTAGCAGAAAGGATTCCTTTACCATATAAACAAGGTGGAGAAAATGAATAGTTTACAATGTGTGTTGCTTCCAAATTACAAAATCAAGGTGTTATTCCTGGCTCTTTGGGAACATATGTTCAGCCAGTTTGGCCATGAATTTTCCAACTTTTACTTTCACCAAAAAATCATGGTGGCTTTCTATTCCCAGAACCTTATCAGCACACACTTGAAATTCTTTTAAAAAGAAAAAAAGTGAACCTTCACCGAATTGATTCTGAGTAGGTTCATTTTCTTCCCATTTGAAATTATCATTTATATTCTCAAATATGACCAGAAGTTTAAGAATAACTTCTTTGTTCTCCTTCTTATTAAAGAGGGAGCCCAGTGAAGATGGTACTTGGGCCCTGAGCAGTTCCCTAGTCATGGCTGGATTTTCAGCCAAATTCAAAAGGAGTTTCAGAACCTGAAGTTTGGTTTCTTCATTTCCCGCTGAAAATAAACGAAAAAAGTCAGAAATGGAATTAGCAAGCATGTGCTGATACTCATTAGTAACAGTCATATTTGTAAGCAATCTCAGTCCAGCAAGCTGCACAGATGAGTTCAATCGAGAAGTGATTGTGTCATCACACACTTGATTCATGTATACCTTAAGCCTGCGCTGATTTTCAGCATTCACACTCAAGTTATTCAGGACAATTAAAGCCTTTTCCTTAACTATGGGATCCCGCGTATTGAGAATCTTTGCGACAATTGGGAGACCACCGAGATCACGAATAATATCTCTGTTAAATGCATAAGCAGCATTGTTACCCAGAGCAATTAAAGCTGCTTCAAGAATATAAGGCTTTTCAGACATCTCAACCAAGCAAAGAACCTTTTGCAGCTCTTGAGGGGACAAAATGGTATCATCTGAATTGGGGGAAGCCCGTTTCTGGACAGCCCGACGTGCCCGGGTAGCCCTGGCCCTTGCCCTGGCCCTGGCTCTGGTTCCAGCTTCAGTCCCAATCCGGGCCCAAGGTGGGTACCATACTATACTCTTGCTCTCATTGCTGTCATCATCATCATCAGACCAGTCATTATACCTGGCCCCAGAACAGTCCCCAGCATCATCCACATCCCCAGATCCACCCTCAGCCATTTTTTCCTTGTTCTGTTTTCTTCCCCTAGTCAGTTTATAAATGCAATAGCAGGCGCCAGCCCCAATCACCAGGCCTGCAGTCACCCAGCCTACTTTCCTGGCGTAGCCCATGCAATCGTCCCTGACAATAGCAGGGACCAAGGAATAGAGTAGTCACTCAGGCTGGGGGAGGAAGGCTGTGGGACTGGGCTCAAGCCTGTGGAGGGTGATCGTCTTCAGCCACTTCAAGGCCACAATAGCTGATTCTGGAGGTTGACCTAGGAGTGGAAGAAGAAAATCGGGTTTGAGTTTCTCTTCTGCTTGTGTTGTCCCATGCAGGGAGTTGTGCAGAGGGACAAGATAATAATAATTGAATGCTAGGTAGGAAATGTAGATTGTTGACAAAATCTCTATGCCTCTCATTTCAGCCTTTCCCTCCCCACCCCAGGTCACCCCGCCCAAAGCCTAGATAATGCCAGTGGAATCCACAGATTCTGCTGGGGTCTCAGTCACTACAACCTCAGATGTCCCCAGGGACCTGACTAGAACCCTTGCACTAACCTCCTCAAGACAAGCAGTTCGCCCCTTCTGTTTCCTGGTGGTGTGCCACGCCCAACAACCTTTCCAATCTGCAGAGAGACCAGAGCCAGTGAGAACGGAGCACTTGATGGATTGACTGTTGATTTGTTGCTTTCCTGATTCACCATTCCGGCTATCAGGTTTGTTTTTAACCTCTTTATGCCATCCCAAACATGCACAGGTCTGCCCCCTCCCTAGCCTGAAATGGGAGGGAGGTAAGGAAAATAAAGCAGGATTGGAAGAGCCTGTCCAAAGTGCGAGCGATTTCTAACCCCTCCCCCATTCCAGGCAGCCCCCACGCCCACACCGACCTCTACTGATCGGAGGAAACTTCCTCCCTCGCTTCAAGCGGAGCCACCTGCTACAGCAGACCTGCAGGATGACAGATCGAAAACATGGGGAGTAAGTGCTGTTGAGAGAGGAGGATTATGAACAAACTATCCGATAGGTTTCCCTGCTGTCATTTCCCCCACTTCCCCCCCACCACACACACACAAAGCACGCCATTTCGCCACAGTCCGGGGAGTGCAAGAAACACATTCGGACTCAAACCTGTACCTAGATTATTACCTTCTCTGCCTTCTCCCCACCCCCGCCGCCAACCCCGTCCCTCCTAGAGTCCCCAGATGGTCTTACCCTCAAATCGACCTTCACCGATTAGGATTAATTTCCTTCCTCTTCTTTTGCCTGGCGTTGTGCCGCAACCTACAGAAAGACTGGCCACCCGGGAGAGGCTTGGACCCACTAGACACAGAGCCATGGTCAGGAAGACACAGCCACAGGCAGAAAGACGGGAAACTGCCGCCACTGCGTGCTTGGTGGACGGACTAGTCCCCAGAACACAAAACTCTTTTCTAATTCGGAGGCCTGGTTGTCAGAGGTTTCCCACCCCTATTACCTCTCTTGGGGTTCTGCTGACATATCACGTTGCATCTCACCACCCCCGCCCCCATATCCAGCCATTCCCCTCCGGCACTGTCCTGGTGGACTAGGGGCCAACACCCAGGCCACAGCTCCCTTTCCGGATTGCGGGCCTAGGCTCCCAGCAGATTCCCATCTCCTGATCTCTGAGCTTTTCCCCAAACACTCCCCAGCTCACCGTTTCGCAGCATCGAAATGGGGTGCAGGCGGGACATATGTCTTGGAAAGCGGGCGGCGAGTGGGAGAGACGACGGAGGCGCCTCAGTACCCGCGACGGTCTCGGCCCTACACCCTCTAGCACCCTGACTTTATGGAATCTCCCAGGCACTGACCTGCAGGGATCCGGGACAATTTTCTTCTCCTCTTCCTTTTTCCCTCCGCCGCAGGCCCGCCCGCCCTCAGGGCAATGGGGAGCTGGTACTCAGACGGGAACAACGACCAGGACAAGAAGGACTTCTGCACACGTCAGCTCTTGGTCACGTGAGAGCTACGTCATCCACCAACTCGGGTCCCCAATTTCCCCTCCCACCAGCAGTGCGGCAGAAGAGGGCCCGCCCCCCTCCTTTCCCTCCCCCACACCAGGCCTTGTTACTCTTTCTTCTTCGATAATCTCATCACCTTGTAGTTGTGTTTCCCTTCCACCGATTACCAGAAAGGGACGACATCTTCCCCTGGGGCTACGGGCCACTTGTACTTTTTATGAAAAATTGCCTCTTCCTTCCCTAGGCTCCTGGGACAGCAGCCTCTCCCTCCACCTTCCCTCCCCCGAGCTATTAAAGTCTACCATTTCCTCTGAAATCTAGTCCCAGATCTGAAAGGAACAAGCGATCGGAAAAGAAAATCTGGAATGAGAGTGTGGCTTTTACTTTCTTAATACTTTGTTATTTTTGTTCCGTCCTCCCCCGCCCCCAGCCTGCATTCTTTTTACGAGAAAAAAAAAAATACTATAAAGCTATTTCCATTTTAGAAAAAAAATGAGTGGAAGCTGGAGAATGATGTTGGGTGATGGCCTCCAAAAGTCCCACATTTTCTCACTTGGTGGAGAGTGTTACACACTTCACTCAAAGCAATCTTAATGTCTTCTGGGGCCTAGCACACAGCACAGCCCTGAATGAGCTAATCAGTGTGTCTGGCAATATGTAAATCCTCTGACTAGACCAGTCTTCTAAATAGGAGAGCTACAGACTTTCACCTGCACCCATTAGCAAGGTGGAGGCATTGAAGCCACAAAAGCCAGAACGCAGGAAAAAAAAAAAAAAAAAAAAACCTGAGGAGAAAACATAAGTGCACAGTAGGTATCTGTGAGATAAAGCATGTACACTGAAAAAATGAGTGTGCATAAAAAGAACATTACAAAATATACTTGGTCAAAATAGATAGTATCATCTATAAACGAAATAAGTATTAGAGGAACACAGACCAAGACAAAATTGGCTGAAACCGGAAACTAGCAATTAGTATGAAACTATTTCACTCACTGGTTTGATAAGCTGAATAATTCACCCATCATCAATGATTTAACTTTTTTAAAGTAGGAAAAGGAATAAAATAATTACATCCCCTCATTATTTAAGTTAACCAGATTTGATTTCAGTGGCTTGCAACTAAACAATCTTAACTAAAGCACAATACAAAAACAGGTAACAATACAAAAAGTAATATAGCTTTTCAGAACATAGGGTCTTCAGTGAGATATTCCTTAATAGTTTGAATAAAAGGTTATTATTTGAGTATAACTTTTAAAATACCCAGACAATATGGGAGTAAATCAAGAGACTGAGGAGGTTGAGAACAGGCAAACCCCCAGGAAAATTCATATCTATGTAACTTCTGGGAGGCAGTACTAGAATGTGATTGAAATTTATTTAGTAAACAGAAACCAAATCAACTGTATGATCCTGTGTTTAGAGAAAGATCATGTGTAGCAAAGGGGCTCATTCAAGCATAGGAACATATGAAAAGGACAGTCAGAAGAAAGTGTTGGTATTTCCCACCCAAGCACTGTCTGGAGGAGAAAAAGTGTTGGCTAAGGAGAATGGAACATTTCACTTTCTCTGGCAGAGTCATGCCCATGATGTGTAATAGTACTTCATGCTTCCTCAGCTGAAACACCCTTCTTAAGATGAACAAATACCCTCGCTTTGATTGCAGGCTCACCAAACAACCTTCGAAGGTTGTGTTTTCCGAAGTAGTAGCTTGTCTACAGGGAAAGAATGGGCAGGTAAGACTGACTGAAACCTCCAGTACCCCCTGACAGTTGTATTTCTCAGGGCAAATTATTCAGTTGTCACTCCTGTTGAAACAGCCTCCCTTGTGGTCTACTTACGGGGAGAGAATGCAGAGGTCCCTAGGTTTGAGCATTCAGATCGATTTATATATAAGTCTCTATGAATGGGAGACTTTTCTTGAGGCATCCAGAGGCAACTCTTCTCAGCATACAAACAAAATCAGGATTTGGTCATGCAATACTGAGGAAGAGACCCTGAACTACAGACGCAACCTTGTGGGAATCCTGTGGGAGAAGCCAAGTGGCCTTGGCTCAAAGGACAACCTTGTACATCACCATTTCATAACCATACCTTTCTAATGTTTAGTTAATGGTGGAAATTACAACTAAGATACTCTGTGGCATATTATGCCCCCAGCACTTCCGTTATAGATAAACAAAGGGTTAATTTCCAAAGTGGTTAAAGGGCTCCTGCAAATCAACAACAACATCTGAAACAGTTTAAATTTCTCCCTGGGAAAAGAAAGGAAGTGCATTTTACATTTTACATACCCTATTGTTTTCCTCAGCAAAAGGGTGGGTATTGTGCCCAAAACAGACCAACCAAAAGCTGTCTTACTAAAATTTCAATCTTCATCAGAGAAATAAAAACCTGAAAACCGGTGGACTTGTGACATCCTGAAAAGACATCTATCAATTTCTCCTACCTAAACCCCTGGGAAATGAGCCTGGTCTTCAACATTTCCTCCTTAAGCTAACCAGGCTTGTTCTATGTCGCTTGCAACCACACAACCTTAAGTAAGACACAATACCAAAATTACACAATACAAAAAGTAGTATCTTTTCAAGATAACATCCTTCTATAATTTATTTTTTTCACCCTCCACAATTCCATTAGTGTCACCATTTGCTGATCGTTTTTTTGTTTCTGGGTACTTTATAAGTTACATATCACACGTGAACTGATTTAAGCCAAAAGTTTTGTTTTGGCAGTGGTTTCACAGTAGTTTTTTGCGGGTTGAGGAACTTTTAACAGTCCTGTCTGAGGACTTCTTTAAGCATTTTCCTTTCTCACTTTTGAACGGTATGTGAGCCTTATAACATGTCCTTAAGTAAATATTTGTTGGTAGATATATAATGGAGAGCAAAGTAGTTTTTTCTTTCTTTGTTTGTTTGTTTTTAATGCTAGTCTCCAGGTAGGAATTGGTAGAATCATGGATCAGAAGAACAAAGAGGTAAGAGAATCGAAAGGGTTTTTATAACCATGGGATTTTAGGAAGTTTTAGACAGGAAGTGGATTCAAACCAGGAAAGGTCTGGCATACTGGGAGAATGGTAGTGAGAAGTTATACATTGGACTAACTGGAGAATATACCAAAAGGGTGGAGATAGGTTATACTAGTGAGGAGAGGGTAGGAGTAAAGTTTTTGTCCTTGAAGCCTGACTAAGTGTTGTGAAAGTAAGTTCTTATTGTAAAGCCATGTCTGTGACACCAAGTCATCTGTCTTTATTAAGCTTTACATACTCCTTAGTTTTTTTAATGTATATATTCAAAACAAACAAAAGCCACTTATACAACTACCTAGCAGCCAAACACTGAATGATGGACTGTTGAATCTGAGAATTCTGTTAGTAAGCCTTCATAAGTATAATTCACTTGTCTAGGGGAAGTAAATAAAGGGTCATAAAAAAAAAACAAATAAGGTAAAGATTTAGAGAGATTAAGATATGATATTGGTGAGTTTGGACTATAAAAGGGGAAGACCAGAAAGTTGTGACATATTGACTTCTGAATATTCACCAGCAAGGCACTAGGACTCCCTGGCTTGCCTCCTGAAAGGGCCTCCTCCACACAGGGGCCCCTCACTGGGGAGCCCCTCCCTCTGAGGTGTCATATTTCAATGTTCTAAGAGGTTGCCTGGAGTGTCTATATTTAGAGTATGACTCCTCAGCAGGGACAGGTGGATGCTTGAGAACTAACTTCTGCGTACTTGGTCCCTGAGTTTTGGGATTATTCTGAGGGGCTTGTACTGGTGGCTCGGTGAAATTGTAACAGAAGGCAGGAAGCGTAAAGCCCTCTTTTTTCTGGCAACTGCTTGAGATCCTGTGCATTGCCCTTCCACTTGTGAGGGAAAAAAATGACACAGACATGAGGGGTGTTGCAGTGATTCCCGGTCACCCACAGACCCTCACCACCATCTCCACTGGAAAATGCCGAACACTCACCACTGCTAGGGTAGCATACAATACATGAATAGCAGACAGCAGCGAGATCACCAACACTGTCATGATGGAAAGAAAATTACCTCAAGTCTCATTTTCATCAATAGGATAACAAGAAATTATCTAATTTCTGGATGATTTATGGGTTGCACCACAAACTTCAGAATAGATTTTAAATAAAACCCTGTGAATTAAAGGCAGGCTAATCTGTGGAGTCACTAATCTGTAAAGTTCATCTGAAGATGTAAGATTCCTCTGAAGTTGGGGTTTGCAAAAAAATCTGTCTTTTGAAGCCAGAGTGAAAGTCACCCAGCAATCTTCTATGAAGATGTCAGTCATATTATGCCTAATACTATGAGTTCAGCCAGAAGAAGGAAAGGGACAATAGTTCACATACTTAAAATGGTCAAAATTAGAACACTGACCTTCTCAGTATAGATTCATTTGTCCATCAATTTATAAATCATGTTGAAAGCACAACTGGTTTTGTTTGTAAGGGTATGTTTTTCATTTTAATATGTTGTTTGAAAGCTGCTATTTCCTGTGCAGTCAGAAGAAAATATTTTCAACTTAACACAAACTAACTTCACCAAATCAATGAGGCCTCCCTCTTAACTGGGAAATCTTGCTTATGTTATATAAATTTTTGTAAAAAAAAAAAAAAAAAAAAAAGGTTTGAATTATTTCTTCTCCAAGTGGGAAAAGCTTTATTTTTTTTTCCGATTACAAAATAGTGTAGTTCAAGTCAATAAAAAAGAAAGGACAAAATATAACTTAAATGTTATTAAAATACTAATTAAAATCTCACCACTGCCTGGACTTCCGTTTCTGCCCCTTCCCCCAATGTTGATGCAGACAGAGACTGAACATGGAAAAGGGTAGAAATTTAAGAAAGGGGCTGCAGGGGTTCCAGAGCCAAGGAAAGGATGAGACAATTCCCCAAGAAGTGTAAGTGAAGGGTAGACCCAGGAAAAGATGCTGCCCCTTCCTGGAATTAGAGAAACACAAATTGAAACACCAGAAAGACAGGGCCATTTCTGGTTTCTGGTATTGTTACAGAGGAAAAAAGTGACAGGGCCCACTGTGGGGGTTGAGGGGGAGATACAAGGCAGGCTGGCGCCTGCCGCACTGCTTGTGGGAGTGGAAATTGGGGGCCAGAACGCACCGGTGACGTGGCTGTCACGTGACCAAGAGCCGCCTAGAGCACAAGTCCTGCTAGTCGCCTCCGTCTGGGTACCAGCCCCCTATTACTCTGCAGGCGTGTGAAGAAAGAAGGAAACTAGCTCGGACTGTGCAGGTCGGTGCGAGGATGGGCGCTGCTTCAGAGGAGGTATGGGTGGAAGAGGGCCAAGAACGCCACAGATCCGAGTTCAGGCCGATC